ATACAAGAAATATTCACATCATATTTATGAGATTTGTATTCCCTCTTTGCATGTTAGAAAGATGCAAAGACTAACACTTCTAAATATTCAGACAGATCATTTCACAGTTGTAACTTTCATCACAGTTCTCAAAGCAGCATGGTGAGGTCAGCTCACAAACAGCTTAAATAGCAAAACTAGAAATTGGTGGTAGTAGTATCAGGCTACATAACAGCCTCTCCAAAGAATATGAAGTAAGAGAACTAAAATGTGCTGGCAACATGCCAAAAGACTGGATGGAATATAGCTTTGAGCACTGAAAACTCAGAGCTTACAGTATATAGCAATTCATCTTCTCAGACCCTGTAGCTTGACTTTCCTTGTTTTAAACCAAAAATAGCAACGTATAAGAGGTATTTAACACTGTCATATTTCTCCTACTTATGAGTTGAAGGGCATGTAGGCCTGCAATGATTTGTTAAACTAAACACATACCCTAGGAAAAAAATCTAACTTCCATTCTACGTAAAACTGAGGAAAGTAAAACAGATACAATTACTGTACACTGAAATTATTCTGCATAGGTTAGCCTTTATTTTCCAAACATCATACTACCTTCAGCATAACTCCTAAAGTTTAGGTTTTTCTATGTTGTCAGTTCTGATTATCTCTGTAACTGGCATTTAGAATTACTCAACCTTCTCAACAGATTTAATAAAGAATCCTGTCAGATGAAAGGACAATTTTGGTCAGAAACAATTCCTTGGTCCTTAGTCAAAATATACGAGTTTTATGATTTCATCTTAAATAAATCATGTATTAACAGAATAGTAAACTTTAATTCTTAAGACTCTGACACTTTCTAAACATAACTTTTTCTAAAGAACTGCAAGGAAAATGCAGGTATTTTTGGCAAGAGAAGGAACCAAATTCAATTCAAATCAACACACATTTATTAAATGTGTATTTTGTGTCAGACATTATGCCAAGAAATAAAGAAACAATGATAATGTATATTTGATCTCAGAGTTGGGGAGATCAATGAGCTCCATTAGCTGTAGGAAAAAAAGCCCTGGCATCACCAAGAAGAGAGAATAAGTCTGCCTAGAGCAATAGTGGTGAATCTACAGCACACATGCAACAAACAGTAGGTTCTTTGTATCACTAGTAGCTCTAAAAGGTTCACCATCACTGGCCTGAGGCTGGGCAAATCTTCAGAGCCAATAAAAGCTTTGAGCAGCATTTTGAAGGATGAGAATTTCACAAGGGAAAGTAAGATAAAATAAGCAAAAGAAAAAAAAGTGTAAAAACATGGCAGGTATAAGAAAACACATGTGGCAAGGTTGGAATAATAATTTCTGACATATGTGCAAGTATTTTTCTACCCTCACCCCATTACATACATCTCTAATCAAACCAGAACATGTTTAAAGCCCACATAAAACCTCAACATCCTTCTCAACAGATAACATACAATCAGTAGAAGGAAACAGGTCCATAAGATGAAATATATGTGTGATGATCCTGAGCCTGGGAACAAAAAGTGGTAAATATGAGGTTGGGTAAGTATATTAAGAGCCAATTATAAATGCCTGTGAATGCTTGGCTAACAAATTTAGGTTTTATCCTATGTACAACAAAGGATAGACAAAGGATTTTATAAAAATACTGATATGATCAATTCTGATGTGTGAAAAATGGGTATTGACAGACAGAATGAATGCAGGATGCAAAAAATACAGGTAGGCAAAAAATAATGGGCCTGAATTTCAGCAGTGGAAAAATCAACTGCAGGTTCTAAAATAAAAACAGAGTTTTGGACTTTATAATCTGTAGTTTAAAAACACAAATTTGGGAAAAACTAATAGTGTAATCAAAATTCTCAACTGGTATTTGAAAAGTTAAGGTAAAGACTAGAATTAAAGAAGTGAATCACAATGATACACAAGAATACTCAAGACCATAAATTCAGAAATAGATATTTCAGGTTTAGCATCAAGAAAGAGAACATCCTCATGACCAGACTAATACTCAGCAAGTCTTTTCTTCCTCACAGGGCATTAATACTCTTAGCCAAACAACAAACACTATTCACCTTACATGCCCCTATGATGCAGGATCAAACACATACTTTCAGTGAAATACAGAAAGCACAAAAGTAAAATCCAAAACCAAAATGTACCCAAACATTTAAAACTACACTTCTTTTAAGAAACATAATTTATATGTAATAAATCTTCTAGACGATACCATTCTACCATTAACTAATTCATATCAAAATCTTTAACTAAAATTATTTGCATAGAATATAACCTATCTGTAGTACTTTGCACAATATGCAAAAAATAAAAATAAAAAGCAACTCTCCCAACATTTCTAAAGAATTGGGGGGGGTTGGGGGGGTTGAATTTTGCAGGGGAATCCAACTCAGGTCCTTGTGCTTGTGAGGCAGGCGGCAGCACCACTGAGCTAAACCCCCAGCCCTTCTGCAGAATGTTTAATAAATGAAATTTTTCTAAGTAAAAATAGAAATTTGGGCTGGAGATTTAGCTCAGTGCTTCCAGCGCCTGCTGCAAAAGTGCAAGGACCTGAGTTCAATCCCAGGAACCAAAAAAAAAAAGAGAGAAAGAAAGAAACTCCACTGTAGCTTCAAAAGGCCATAGATAGTGAAAGGGTCTTTCTATTTTTGAAAAAAGGACTCTTTAGCTCTTAGAAACAAAGACTAGTGTAATGTGAAATCCAAGTACAACATGTTAAGAGACATGCTAGAAAAGCTAACACTACTGTTTTAAAACCTAAGAATAATCCTATTAAGAAAAATATTACTGGGGCTGAGGATTTAGCTCAGTGGCAGTACGCCTACGTGGCAAGCACGCGGTGCTGAGTTCAATTCCCAGTACCAAAAAGAGAGAAAAATATTACCCTCTAGTGAATGCCAACGATGGACTTCATCCTACATAGACACATGATCAAAGGTTCTACTTTGTTCTCATCCCATTAACATCCCATTAACTCCCAAATTGTAATTCTCTTGAAATAAGCCAAAATGAAAAATATCAACTCAGAGATATAATTTATATATGGTATACTGTTCATTCTGAGAAAGCAAATCAGATAAAAGTTTTTACTAATCTATCTTTTATCCAGAAAGACAATGGTTAGTCATGAGCAGGAGATACTTCTCATGATGTCATTCTAAAGTCATTACTAAATTTTACACATTATGGTTTCTTCAAATCAATCACAAAATAAGTCATGCCGTAAGTGAGGTCAAATTCCATTCTAACAAAAAAGTCCTCCAGGGCCAGGGATTTAGCTCAGAGGTTCGCAAGCGCAAGGACCTGAGTTCAATCCCAGGTACCAAAAAAAAAAAAAAAAAAAAAAAAAAAAAAAAAAAAAAAAAAAAAAGTCCTCCAAACTTGGAAGGTTCACTTACTAAATAATACTAAAAGACCAAATTCCAAAAAAAGCCTCCCTCCCTATCTCCCACAATTTAAAAAAAAAAAAAATAGCCTTATCCTTTTAGCTCATTGTACTGGAATGTGACCCATATTTAAGGGCTTTTCCATTTCTCATTTTCTGCTTAGAGAATATGATGCAGAACTGTCTCTTTCACAAGGATTTTTTAAGAAAAAAAGGAGGGAAATGTAGGTGGTTAATTGTATAATAACTGTAACAAATAACAGTAAATTGTTTTACTAGATTTCTTACATTTGCATTTTCCTATTAGAGAAATGCATGGCACTTAGAATGAGTGTATTCCGTTTGTTTGGTTAGTTTTTTGAGACAGAGTCTAGAGGCCTTGAACTCAAGCAACCCTCCTGCCACAGCCTCCTGAGTGCTGAAATTACAGGCATGCACCACAACATCCAGCTGAAAGTGTATTTAAATAGGAATATTTTATTTTACAACTCCAGTCAGAAATGTAAGAGATTTTTTTCTTTTAGACATCTTTTTTCTTTTTTTTTTTGCTGTGTGCATATGGTATTGGGTATTAAAGCCAGAGCACTTCATGCATGCTAGGCAAACACATCTTCTTTTTTTTTTTTTTTGAGACAAAGTTTCAAGTTTCCCAAGAGAAAACTGGCTTGCAACTTATGATCTCCTGCCCCATTCTCCCAAGTAGGCAGGAATGTAAGCCTGTACCACTACAGCAGTGATTTGTATGACTCCTAATAAATTAGGTAAGGAAGATTAAAATTATTGTCAAAAAAATCTTCACATATAAAATTACTATAAATGTATTCCCATAACAAAACCTATTTTTTTTTTTTTTTGGTTACCGGGGATCTAACTCAGGTCCTTGTGCTTGCGAGGCAGGCAGCATAACCACTGAGCTAAATCCCCGGCCCTACAAAATCTATTTTTATAGGACCAGGGATTTAGCTGTGGTTCCACTGTCTGTCTCACATGCACAAAGTCCCAAGTTTGATCCCTAGTACCAAAAAAAAAATTATTTTTTATCATTGAAGTTAGATACTTAAGTACCTAATCATAGAGAACAAAGGATTATTTAAGAAATGTATTTCAAAGGATAAATTTACGCACTTAACATCTATCTAGGGTTTAGTTTTGGTTTTTGGAGGTTTTTTGTTTTTTTTTGTTTTTGTTTTTTGGTTTTTGGTTTGGTTTAATGGTACTAGGTACCTCTGCACTGAGCTATATATCCCTAGTTCATTGGGGGGGGGTACCAGGGGTTGAACTCAGGACCTTGCATTTACAAGGCAGGCAGCAGCACTACTGAGCTAAATCCTTAGCCTTTTTCTTTTTTTGAGACAAGTTAAATTGCCCAGGCTGGGCTTAAACTTGCCACCTTGACAACCTCCCAGAATGCTGGAATTACAGGCCTGCACCATAAGGCCAAGTTCTTCATTTCTTTAAAAAAAAAGGAGGTATCTGACTAGAAGATCTTGAAAGTATTTCTATGATACCTTAAACCAAATTTTAAAATGAATAAATTCTATGACTTAACACAGACAAAAGCACTCCCAAGAATACTATGAAGGATACATTTTACTTACATTCTTCCAACACCTTCATACATGTTAGTCTCATCTACCAAAGTCATAATCTCTGTATCTGTAAGATGTGCGTGCTTTTTTGTTCTGTTTAGCTGTTCAATCTGAATGTCTGCAAGCTTCACCTTTTGTTGAGTGTCAATAACTTTGGCCTGAAGCTCTGTGAAGGCCTGATAAAAACAAATGCTTGATTTAGTAGGCAAAATGTTTCACAGAAAACATTTAGGTCAAACCCAAATTTATTAAATCAGAAAATGGTAACCAGACAAAGCTGTGAAATTTACCAGAGTAAACCTAAATAAGTCAATACAATTAGCTATACTAAATACGGAATTTATCCTCAGAAGATGCAATTAATTTGAAGAAGCAAAATGAATGGACATTAAATTACCAGTATCAAGTAACCAGGGTAATAAAAACAATAAATTCAAACAGATGATAAACACAGAGATTCAAAACAAGAACCACAAAAATAACAACTCAGGGCCAGGAATTTAGCTCAGTGGCACCTCACCTGCCTCCAAAGCACAAGGTCCTGAGTTCAATCCCCAGTACAAAAAAAAAAACAAAAAAAAAAAACTCACTATATATTATACAACTAGATAACTAGATTTCAAAGCACTTTCCCACATTTCAAAATAACATCGGAAAATTAACAAGAATAATATCTCATTTATTCCTGTTCATAATGAGAGATGGCAATTTCATCATCCACAAGTTATAAATCAAGTAAGTGAGTTAAGAGTGGCTTGCACAGGGTTGACTACTAGGTAGAATGAGTGGACCCTTGACTTACTAACTTGATCAGGTTCCGAGGGATGGCTGATTATAAGTAAGTACAGTTGAGATCTGGATGTTTATTGGGTACAAGCTATAGATAACAAGAGGGAAATGAACCTTCCATTAACCTAATTAGCCCAAGTTATTCATATGTCAGGCCAGTCGTAACTTGAGGGTCCACTGTACATAAAACCATTTCTTCTGACCCCTCTTAGTTCAAGAATCTTTTCATTCTACTGTTTATAGTAATATTCAAAATACAGAGAAAGTCTAAAACAAAAAACTCTAAGCAGTGACAGAACTGTATCATGATCTTCATCTGCACATACCAGGCCGAATTTGACCTGTGTACACTTACTTAACTCAAAGATAAACACAGTTCTTGGATACTCTTGTTGAAGTGCCTGACATAGGAATAACTTGGGTTAATTAGGTTAATGGAAGATTCATTTGTCTCTTGTTATCTATAGCATGTACCCAGGTAAACATCCTGATCTCAGCTGTATTTACTGCTAATCAACCATCCCTCAGGAACTGATCAACATAAGTCAGGGGTCCACTCAATTGTACCTGCCTTTCTATCTAGTAGTCAACCCTGTGCAAGCCACTTTTATCACTTAACTCAGTTACTTGATTTGTAACTTGTGGATGATGACTTTCATGTGTTGTCAAATTTATGCCTTACTAACATTTAGTGACTGAAATGCATAACAAAGGCTACTACTTAACTTTCATTCTGACTTTGTTGTGTCACCTACAAGTAAGCTTTCAAGAGATTTACTTTAGGGGAGAATGGGACCCTGTAAAAACATTAGATGATAAAATCTTTATACAGGTTTTTTTATTCAACTGGTTGTGAAAACTTTTCAATTTAAGTCTGTAATCATTCTGTCTGAATTCATTGTTTACATTTCCTAGCAACAAATTCCACTGATACATAAGGACATTCATAGTTGTACTCCCATTAGCTCTTTTATTAAACTATGACTTAAATTTGAACTTTTAACAGAAAAGGGGTGTATTTTCAGAATACTCAATTTTGTTTTGAAATGTAACATACCAGGTATTATACTCTGTACACAGCTAAATAAGCAAGCATATGCTAAGATGTTACAGTACAAGAAAACACCATGTAAAAGCTACATTGACAAGTTTCAAGACAAGAACAGCCCCCCAAAAATGACTCAAATACCTAATATACTCAGCAGCAACAGGTTCATTCATTAGGAGCAAAAGCTATTTCAGCTGTCTTATTTCTAATGCAAAGGTTAACCAGAGGTAGTCACTTAAGAAGTTGCTCACCTTAAGAACCTAAACTAATGATCAAAAATAATGGATTCTAGGGCCAGGGATTTAACTCAGTGGTGTCAGCGAGTGCAAGGTCCCCAGTTCCATCCCCGGTACAAAACAAAAACAAAAACAACTGGATTCTAGTCCCAATCTTTATGACTTTTCTAAAACTGTTTGCTTTTCGAGGAAAGTAGACTGAAGCTGAATGAATTCTAAGGTCCTTTCCAATCCCTCTCCCTTTCCTACAAAGTGACAAAAATGTTTCTTAGTAACAACCCAGTTAAAAGCAATTGTTTGAACAAAGAGAAATGTAATTCTTTCTAAGACCAATCCTTACGGAAAAATTTTTTTCCACAACTCCTTTCAAAAAATGGAACTGGGAGGGCCAGGAATTTGGCTCTGTGGTTCCGCCGCCTGCCTCGCAAGCGCTGAGTCCGAGTTCGATCCCCGGCACCAAAAAATTATGAAATAAACATTACTATGACAATGTATGACTTTCTAAAGTGCCGGTACTGAGACCTTTCAGGTTGTTATTGAATATAAATGGCCTAAAAACAAAGAGTGAACTTAAAGAGGGCGGCTCCGGTCGATCGAGCGGGTTTCAATTAGTAACACTCTCTTCAGTTCTTACTAAAGGCTCCCTGAAAGCTTCAAATGCAAAGAAATGGCTCTGAAATTCTGGGGAAAGGCGGGGGATCGGCCCGCAAACAGCCCCCAGCTCTAGCTAACCAGCTCCTAACTATCAAGAGCCTCAAGAGCCGTTCCCCTCCTACCACAGCCTAAAGAGACCCGATCCCGAGTTTTACGACTCTAGGAAATCATTCCTCATTCCCCTGTAATCTCTTTCCTTCTGCAAGACGCGAGCTTCCCTCAATAATCTTGTCCAAAGTCGCCTCATCAGCCAAAGAGATGGCTTTACTGGGCCAAGAAACCCTTTTACCTTCTTCAACTCCAGATCCACGGGGGCCGCCATGTTGGTGCACTCTTTGCGCCTGCGCGTTGGAAGAAGGCCGGAAAGAGAGGGGATAGAAGGGCGCGGCTTGAGGATTGATGCTTTGCTTTCCTTTTGCGCCTGCGCATGAACCTGGCTAACCAGGATATTTGCCTTATCTGGATGGGTTACCCTTGAAATATTCGGGATTCCATTTAACTATGCCTTGCTTCTGTAACCCATCAGGTCTAGCTTGCATCTACATACATGTCTTCCAGTCACAGCCCAAAGAGCAAATTTGATGTGTCGCTTTACGCAGTTGGACAAATAACTTGGTTTGAACCGCTAAATTGAAATATATCTAGTTAAGCTTAACCTCTCATCGGAAGTTCAGCCCTTCAACTAGTCCCTGTGATATCAGAAATGCGTAACGCCCCTAACTACAGACATGGCAGTATGAAGATCATTCTTAAGAAGGTTTGGTTGGCATGTTCTTCCAAAGAACTTACTTCTGCTGAAGTACTGAAGTCTCCATGAAGACCTTGTAGATAGTGATTTTCAAGATTGGCCAAGTAAGTTTGTTTAATAACAACTACAACAACAACAACAATAATAATAATACAGATTCCAGTCTGGTAATGCAAAAGAGTTAGGGAAGACATGGTTAGTGTATATGAAGCCCAATACCTAGCACCATAAATGAACACAGTCTCTGGGGTTCATCCAAACTTTATTAGAATCTTTGAAAGTGACTACTGGAAATTTATACGTTTGTCAACTCCCCCATCAACTAATAATACAAATTGTTTGCAGGCCACATTTTGAGAATCTGATGTAAAAAGACCTAGCATTTGAACCAGAAGAATGGATAATTGCCTTTTGGAAATGGAAAATATATATACCCATTATAAAAACTGGGAGGTAAAGGGAAAGCAAATTTGGAATCAGCAGATCTGAATTCAAGGACTGGTCAACCTTAAACCTAACCATGGTTGCATTTACTACCTGTGTAACTTTGAGCAATTGACTTACCCTTGAAAAGCTTCAATCTCCTCATATTTAATTTGAGAATAACGATATACCTAATAGGATTATTGTGAGAAGTAAATAAGATCAGAATGAAATGCTCTGAGCACAGTGCTGTGCACACAGTATGTGCTCAGTAAACAGTTGATGTACTTAACATTGTCTTCTTGTTTCAAAGTCCAACAAATTGCTAACACACTTACTATCACACAGACCAAAAATAGTCTCTCCTCTGAACTCTCCTCAAAACATGTTTGTCTATGAAGACATAACACTTCAGGGCCAGGGATTTAGCGCAGTGGCATGGCACCTAAGGTCATGAGTTCAGTGCCTGGTGTGGGGGGAAAAAATGACATAAACACTTTAGGGTTAGGGCTGTAGCTCAGTGTTAGAGCACTTGCTTATCACATACAAGGCCCTGAGTTCCATCCCTAGCACCATATGTGCATGATCACACACACACACACACACACACACACACATACACACACACCACTTTCTAGCTTTGTTAAAAACTTTCTTCCATCAGACACGACATTGCACATCTATGATCCCAGCTATGTGGTAAGCTGAGGCAGGAAAATGGCAAATTCCAGCCTGGGCAACTTAGCAACTTAGCAAGACCTTGTACTACCAAAAAAAAAAAAAAAAAAAAAAAAGAGGTCGAGGGTTGTAGTTTGGTGGTAGAGCACCTCAGGGTTCAATTCCCCAGGACCAAAGAAAAAATAAAAGAAAAGTCCTCTGTCATGCTGATTTTCATGACTTTGTTGGAAATCTGTCTTTTCGCTGCTGTTTCTTATAATGTTCACTTTGGTTTGGGGTTCTCCCATCCTACTGTGATGTGTGTCTACTTTTCCTCCTTGGTACACAATATCCTTCTTTAACCTGAGAATTCATGGCAATTCTGGAAAATATTCAGTCAGCATCTCATGGACTGTTGGCTCTCATCTCTTTTGCAGAGCTACCATTAGAAGTATATTGAGACTGGACACAGAGGCACATGCCTATAATCCTAGGTACTTGGGAACCTGAGTCAGGAGGATTATGAGTTTGAGGCCAGACTGGGCAACTTAGCAAGACTTTATCTCAAAGTTTAAAAATAAAAGGGAGATAGGTGTATTGGTGCATGCCTGTCTTTCCAGCACTTGGGAGGCTGAGGCAGGAGTGTTGCTACACATAGAGTTCAAGGCCGGCCTGAACTACATAGCAAGACCCTGTCTCAAAAACCAAACAAACAAAGGGGCTAGGGACATAGTTCAGTGGTAGAGCACTTATCTAGCATGTACAAGGCTCTAGGTTCAATCCTTTAATACATACACACACAGATGTTGAAGCATCCACATCTCTCAACCTTTATACTTACTATTTCCTTTTTTTAAACCCTAGATTTCTACAACTCCACCAATATAATGATGGTTTCTTCAACTATTTCTAGTTTGGTGTGTAAATGGTCATTTGAGTTTTGTTGTAGTTTAGATCTGAAATGTTTCTCAAAAGTTTCATTATGTTCAGAGGTGGGGCTTTCAGAAGGTGTATTGCTGGCCTTGCCTGTAATCCCAGCACTTTTAGGAGGTTCAGGCAAGAGGAGAGCTGTGAGTGCAAGGCCATCCTGGGCTACACTGTGAACTCAAAGCCATCCTGGGGCTGGGGATTTAGCTCCCTGGTTCCACCACCTGCCTCACAAGCACAAGGGCCCGAGTTCGATCCCTGGTACAAAAAAAAAAAAAAAATGAACTAAATAATGAGACTGTTTCAAAAACCCAAAATAATAATAATAATGATACTCTCAGATACTAAAATAAATACTATTGAGGAGGAAAACAGCAACATGCTTAGAGATTGATTGGGTGGAGGCCACTCAGGTGTGAGAAATTTTCAGGAGGACGTAGCATCTGAGATGAGAACTGGAAAATGAAAACAGCTGGCCAAGGTAAAAATTTGGGGAAGACCATTCCAGACAGAGGAAATCTCAAAAGCAAAGAGTTTAAAGTGGACAGGCTTGGCATATTTCAAGACTAAAAAAGAAGAAGTCAATGTGGTTGGATTGGGAAAATAGTAGAAGATAACATCAGAGAGGTGCTTAGGGGGCCATATCTTGAAAGGATTTTTAAACTACACTCAGGGATTAGGATGTCATTCTGAGAATGATAGGAAATCATTTGATTTCAAGCAGGAGATTTTTTTGATCCTATTTTCAAGGGAACATTGTAGGTTCTAGATGGGAAAGGGATTGGAGGGAGCAAGGGTGGAAGCTGGGAGGACTGTTTAGGAGACTACTGCAATAGTCTGAAGAGAGATAATGGTGGTCTACAAAAGATCATGGCAGTGGAGATGGAAGTAGATGGATTCAAGTAGAGTTTGCTGAACTTGGTGAAGGAAGGGGTATGTGTTGGGGAGGAAGAGATAGTAACAAGAAAGGAATCAAAGATGATCCCTCCAGGATGAATATAGTCATTATATCCTGTAAACATACACTAATAGAAAAGTGTTTTTTAGTGTGATATTTTAATTGCTTAAAGGATCTACAATATTGATAAGAAAAGAAAACAAAGAGAAAGTCTTTATATTGTGAAGTTATATTGAGAAGTACACAATACATAATGGTTGTAACTTTCCTTACTGAGACAATAGATGAAATTTTAAGGTCATGATATCAATAAAGAGGAAAAAAAGTGTTTTAAAGAGTCCTTTGGGGCCAGGGATTTAGCTCAGTGATGCTACCAACTGCCTTGCTAGTATAAGGTCCTGAGTTCGATCCCCGGTACCAAAAAAAAAAAAAGTTCTTAATCTCTAAATAAATATGCTGAATGAAAGAGGCCTGATAAAAAGACAGTAACAGCCAGATGTGGTGGTGTACATCTGTAAGTCCAGCACTCAGGAGGCTGAGGCAGGAGGATCACCATGAGTTTGAGGCCAGCCTGGGCTACATAGTGTGTTCAAGGCCAGCCACATACACACACACCAAAAGAGAGAGAGAGAGAGAGAGAGAGAGAGGAAAAGAAAGAAGGATAAGTTTGAGACATTCCTAGCTAAATGGATACCTTGAAAGCATAATTTTAAATGAAATAAATCGGACTCACATGTTTAAATACCACATTGTTTCTCTGGTGTGAGAAATAAAAAGTGGAAATAAGGACCAAAATGTATAATAGATATTGGGAAATGGGAAGAAAATGTTCAAATGAGAAAGGAAACAGGAGAGGTGGAATGTAAAAAGGAAAGAAGGGACAAGGGAAACAGAGAATAGAAGGAAAAATGGAAACAAAGCTTTTGTAAATAAGGAGGGGAAGAAGGGTCCGAGGGGAAGGGAAATGGGGGAAAAAAAGAAGCAAGTTATATTATGTGCAGGTACAAATTCCCTATGATGAATGTGGTCATTATGTATATCTAAAATGTACCAACAAAGCCGGGCGTGGTGGCGCACGCCTGTAATCCCAGCACTCGGCAGCTGAAGCAGGAGGATGGCTGTGAGTTCGAGACCAGCCTGAGCTACATAGTGAATTCCAGGTCAGTCTAAACTACATAGTGAGACCCTGTCTCAAAGAACCAAAATAAATAAAATGTACCAATAAATGTTATACTTCAATAACTACAAGAAGCTTATTTCTCTCCATTGCAATCATCTAGGCATTTTAAAACAATGAGGGCAACAAATGAGTCCCACAGTGCCAGAGTTCCCAGGCTCCTTCTCTCTTATCCATGTGATCCAAGGCCACTTGTCACTATCATGTCCATAGTCAAGTTTAAAGGAAGGGGAAAAGAAGGGGAGGCTTATCTCTTCACATTAAAGGCCTGTCCCAGAAGCTATAAGCATGACTCTATTCCTATCACAATGGCCATAATGCCATTCCTGGCTGCAAGAGGGGCAAGGATATTTAGTTATTATGATACACAACTATGCATTTGCTAAACATTAGGAATTTTGTTATTGTAAAGGAGAAATAGAGTACAGATATTTAGAGGAAATGAACAGCTTTTGACTTAAGTTTTCTGTTGACAAAGCCATTTCCGTTCATCATATCATTTAATCTTTACACTTTGTGAATTAGATAGACCCTAAAAGATCCACTCAAACTGAGAGGA